TACGAACTTTCAGTGTAGAATAATACAGGTCCTACATAGGCTTATTACCCGGAGGGTATTCCCAAAATTGAAGTATACGGACTTGTTGTCGCTGTTCTGATTTCCATTTCTACGGTCAAAGCGATCTCCATTTTGATCATAAATTTTCGGATTCTCGGCCATTTTAACAAAATGTTGGTCTTTATTACGCCGCCTACGGTGGAAATGGAATAAACATTCTTCTTTATATAAAGAGTTCGGAGATCATCAACTGCTGAACTAATTTAATCAGGAACACACAATCAATTTAATCAGGAACACACAATCAATTTTGAAACCATAGAGATAAAATGAGTGCATACTAGTCTTTGATTTCAAGAAGAAGAGTAATTTTTTGTCGGGTGTCGGAAATAAAGGGTCATTTTACAGTAATTAATAAACTTATATTATGTCAGAATTTGAGTAGTAGCATTTCATGTCTTCTTTTTAGGGAAGTTCGGTACCATTTAAACATGAACAAAATGATCATAGTAAATCATTCAAAAACGTTTGTGTGATGATTCACAAACATACACGTCATTCGTGTTTAATTTTTTTATGGAGAAAGAAGGATGTGTTTTCAAAAATACATATACAAAATAATCTAAAAGCTGGCCATTTTGCATTCCATGTAAATACATTATTTCATGGTCAACTTATACCATTATTCAAAATTCTCTAATTTTTCATGACAGTCATGTGTAACGCTCGTAGCGCTACATATCATTTTTAGCATAGGTCACGCAACGAAATCTTGAGATATGATGGAATGTCTCTGTCATAGGAACCAATTGTAAACTATTGAAAACAATGCTTTTTTGATCATTTTGTTCAGGTAGTTTTGTGGAAAACTTAGTTTGGTGACCCTAAATTTTTATTTCAGAATTTTGAACATTACAGTGTCCCAAATCTTCTTGTATTTTTTGTATTATTATTTTAAACTTGGATTTTTTTAGGTTATCACATTAGATTATAGGAGTGTTACCCATTCAAACATAGAAA